GCGATCCAACAACTAGGTTATGTACGGTAATTCTGATTGTAAAATTTCAGGACCACAAGTCTTAATCAAATAAAAAAGCTGTCAAAAGCAGCAAAGAAAGCGATCGAATACGTGCTTTGATGTTTTGCAAAAAAATTTCAATTACACTTACCCGAACTTCCGATGTTGCTGCTCGAAAAGCGGTGGAACCGTTGCGACTAAAGTGGTATCTATCCATTGTGTTTATGTTATCCTTAACTATGTGTTTGCAATGCGATACAATTTGTCATTCTACCTTACCGAACGATAGCTGTCCCCACTTTGTCCCCACATCGAGCCCAATCCATGGCTGATCAAAGCTCCTGCTAGCATCGCAGTGCCAAAACTTTTGTCGAATGCAGCATCATCCAGAATTCTTCCATCAAAACAGTCGCTGCTATAGCTGCCGCTTCTATAATCGCTTTGTTGGACACAGTCCGAAGGAGGAGCTCTACTTTCTTCCATAACTGTTCTTCCGCCATTTGCTGGAAAGACTGTTTATGGTAAGTAATGTTCAAAAGATGAATGGATTGAGGACTAGGGTATATCGGATCTAAAGGGACTCTGAACTTCCTTCAAGCTTTTCGGCCACAGAACGATTCCGACGAACTCACCAGAAGAAGGAGGGACGAGCTCTAGTGGAGCGAGAGGGCACCGGTGCGGCAGTTGACTTACAATTGGTAAGGTATTGATAATTTCAACCACCCACGACCTAAAAAGGAAAAATGTACGGTTATAAAAGACTTAGTGCTAGTCCATTCACGAGTTACAAAACCAACTCTATCTCGGCAATAGAAGAAAACAAAATCCAGTGCACCGTTTCCGCCTTACGATCCATGCCGATGCCTACGAGGTGGTGTTTGGAGTAGCCGTCCGGTAAGATGGGAGACTTGACTAGAAAAATCGTTATTCTTAAATCAATTTTCTGATTTGTAAAAGACTGATAAGAAGAAATAGCTGTACGACGAATGATAGAATACATCAAGTAAACGATGAAGAACGATAACCTGGCATTCTATCTGTCATCGTGCCAACGCAAATGTATGGTACAACATCCTTGAGAAAAACAAATCCTTTAGACCCCGCATCTCTCTGAACGTGAACATCTCGCTAAACTCTATCATAAATCTCTCTTACTTTGCGCCAGTTTCGTGGATTGATGCTACCCAGCTTTTCGTACCAACACAGCTTCGAATCACTGAACAATATTACTTGATGTATCTTCCATTTATTGCTCACAGATCCTTTGTATTTCATGACAATCCCTTTCTTCACCCGACTGGGGTGCATGTCTAAAAGAATGTTTTTAGCTGTGATTGAACCTGGAAAAAATGATAATGAAATTTATAAGCACTAAACTATATGGGAAATGGCATCGTAAATATATACGGTGTCTCTAAAAATGTGCATACTGCCAGTCAATAATCCTTTGTCTCCGTAAATTTGGGAAACTTTCCACCCATACTAAAGGGCTATTGAGTCACTGGTTTCTCGTTATTACAGTTTGTTTGATTTTCAACAGCTTGAAGCTATATTGAAGCAGCTGCCGCTTGGAGAAACAGAAGCATAATATTTGACGAAATGAGTTTGAAAGTAAATACCCTTTTACCTATATGAATGCCTGATGAAAATGGATCATGTGCGCTAGTAAGGGACGAGCGTAAAACACAGACGACATTAAATGCATTGGCATCCTCAAAGTGTTTGACAAAGTTTGTGCAGCAGAAGACAAGAACATTGAATGGAAGTCTTGAATGCAGATTTTGAGATGGAGACCAGTATGTACTAGATTATATTTTCTCGGTAATGGGAGATAGCCTGATAGTTTAAAAAAAGATGCAGAGGGAGCTCCCCATTACCAAAAACAACAAGGTGATTGCCTCATGAAAAACATAGCTCTTTGCTTTTGAAATCAAGTCGGTGATGGTACCGACAAATTTTGCACGAATTGATTGAAATGGTGATGCATACTTACTGAGTGAAAAATAGTTGAACACAGCAAGGTGTTTTGGGTCAAAGACGAAATCTGTCTAATGACCGAAAAAATCTCACGCGATCTAAATGGTTTGAAAGCCAGAAGTGACCACCTGCTACGAATTCAGACGCAGCTGTCAAAATAATGCACTTTTGAAAATGCTCCCCAAAGTAGACCATGAGTAAGAGTTGCTTATCTAGTGCAAAGTGACAAATGGATAAAACTTTTTCGTGGTCTGAGGCGTGTGATCTGAGGCGCCGCTATGACCAGGTGGGCCATTGGTCCTACCCCTGGGCCCACCAAGCCCTCTGCCCTCCGCAGAGGGTAAATTAACAGAATAATCGGGGAGTCGGCTCACCTCAACAGGTCATTGTAATAGCCTCATATGTGCACAGTAGCAGCATCGAACTAAGAAGTAGTTTTGCGCATGCCCTTCTTGCTTTGAAATGCATGAAGTTATGCGAAGATCCGCTAATTTACAGATTCCAAGCACTTATAGCTCAATGTAAAGTGAGCTGAACCTTTGCGGTGGAAAGTGTAGAGCGCTTGTGTAACTCTGCGTAAGGGCTCATGCCGACAAAAGCCACAACTCACCTTCAGCTAGACGAGCTTTTCAAGTGTCAGAAAAATTCAGATGCCAGGAGAGCTTTGTGATATTCTCTGTATGTCGTTTTTACGAACCTAGTGCGCACGCTGGAGCAATATTGCAGTCTGGAAATTCGACCTCTGCGCACTAATCTAAAAATGTGCGTTCATTTTGCTCAGTCATGACCCTCTGTCCACCCAAAAGGATAAGAAGCGCTCAAAACTTTGGAACTCTAGTGATCTTATAGCTCCGCAAGATGTGATGGGGGATAGATGCAAATTTGGGGTTGTGTGGGATCCACTGAGCACAACTAATCTGCGGGTGAAGCCTTTCAACTCCAATGTTGCAAGTTCATCTGTGCTAATTGATATGCTCTTAATTACTCGTCGTGCAAAGTCTGGCTTTGGGTCAGAAGTTTTGGCGCGTCAAAAACTTCAAAAGTTGTGGCTTGACCATGCTTGAGCTGTGGTAGGACTGATGCAGAACCTTAGCGCTTACATCAAGAGTGAATAAACGCTTGAAAATTTTGCGAACAAAATTTTCTTGAAGTGACTCTTACTAGGGAAGGATCCTTAGTCGAAGTGGCTTTTCCAAAACAGACGCACAACTTCTTAAGGATATGGGACGTTGATTCCAAATCTATTTTCCTTATCTGCGGAGCGCCTCTAAACAAGGAGTTATGAGAGCTTCTGCTGCTAAATCATAAACGCGCACTCAAAGGAAAATCATCTATAGAAGACTCTCGTGAGAAACGGAACACTGATAACCGTTAAAATTTTTTGCGAAGATTTTTCTGCTTGCTACCCTGTACACTTCATTATTCCATCTACGCGTTTATGCCCTCAACTGGAACAGGCACTTCGACCCCCTCTCTGCTTATATATCCTGAAACAAAAAATGCAGCACAATCTTTCTTTTCAAATCGAGACAGCTCACAGATAACAAAGTTTCGCATCTTGATGCTTAGCGGTACGGAAAGTTTGAGTTTAAACAATGTAGTAATGCTTGGAAAAAGGAGGTAGCCTTGTAGCGTGACCAGCGTCTTGGGGAGCCTTTTTCAGATTTTTCTTTCCCCTTGCCAAAATTGAAATTGGAAGCTTGAGCTGTCGACTTTTCTTCCCTATCTGGAAAATTTCAAAATCAATGTGTAATGACAGTTAAAAAGCTCATTATACTTTGGCACATAGTGCGGAGATGTTTTTCTACTTTCTTAAAACTTTGATCTACTTTACTACATGCATTAAGAGTGAGATGCAAATTGTGCCTGATGTTCAGAGACTAGCCTTGATGGGAGTATAAGCAGTTACATTGACCATGAGAAATGAAGAAAGGAACCACTTTGTTTGAGCTCTTCAGGAAATATCAGATTTTTATTACTCTATACACTATTATACTTGTCGTTGTGGAGGTTCGAAGGAATTCTAA